CAGATGTTTTAAGGTTATAAAGAGCATAATAAATTTTCAGTCAAAATATATTTGGTTATCTTCTCCAAAAAACTGATGACGTCAGCTCAAAAGTTTGCCGAATAAATCCTATCTAGAATATACAAAATATGATGAGTCTGTACTTGTAATTTATCATTCCATTCATATTTTTTGAATTTGCATATACCGGGTGACTCAAAAAAAAATGAATGCGTACATTTATTTCATTGGTTTAATCAGGAACTACAAAACCGAATGCTTTGAAATCTACTGCAAAAAAACATAATAGGCATGCAGTCGTCACGTTTCCGACAGCAAGGGAAGTACTGTCTAAACTCTTTTGACCAATTTTTTCCTTATGTATAACCGATAACTTAGTAATAATTTATTACTAAGCTGATTCACCACCTTGAAAAGCAGAACATTTCAGTAGTTTATTATTAATTTGTTTGTATAAGTTATAATTATTAGTAGAGAGCGGAAAATATGCAGCAAAATTTTGGGAAAAATGATCATATGATATGCATCAAATTTATGCAAATATGCAGTAACTTTCCTAATATATGCAGAGATATGCAGTTGCATATGCTCCAAAAATTAAAAAAAAAACCTTAATAACCGAATTAAATTTATTTACAAATTACAAAAACAGGTTTCCCGAGCATACGTTTTATTACAAAAAATACATAAATCACATTGTAAAGTGTTTAATTAATTCTCACTAACACATAAATCACATTTTTAAAGATAGTATTGTTATAGTAAAAAATAAATATAATAAAAACAGAGCAAATTGAAAAATAGTGGTAATCGACTATTTAATTACTATTTTGGTAACAGTTTATTTTTAAATATTTTTCGAAATATTCTAACAAAAAGTTTTTCCGGTGATTCTAAAATATGCTTTTGTAAGTAGAAAAAGTGCGTACTACGTCCACAGATGTATAAAAATCCTTACCGGTTTAGAGCAGGCGCGACAAAACAGAGTTCCTTCTTGAAGAATAAGTTCAAGAAAAGGTTTAATCCATAAATTAATTAGAGTTATCGTCGACATATTGACACACTGTCAATGCAAACTCACGATGAAAAATAATAGGGTAACGTTCCTTCGATCACCATAAAACATACCATTAATACGCTTAAGTAACGAACAAAAATATTGGGAATCAACGATATTTCCAAAAGTAATTAAAGCCCGAATTTACGTGGAAGAATGGTTGGTTTCTCCAAACTACCATAAAACCCAAACCTTTACTAGTTATTTGAAGCTCAGGACAAAATTTGAAATATGATTCATAAAATTTCGTTTTTCTAGATAAATGCCGATAGAATGACAATTTTTTTTTTCAAATTAGCACAAAAATTGATAAAAGTGCAAAATATGCACCCGTTACGTGAAATATGCAGCAGAAGGCAAATATATGCAAATATGCAATTTTTTTATAGCTGTATTCATTTTTAATTAGCATGATTCGTTCACTTTTAAATATCAAGACTTATATGCAAAAAATAACGGATATGCAAATTTCATAAAATCCGCTCTCTAATTATTAGTAAAGATCGGAATTATATGCACGCAACTTTGATGAAGTATTTGCATATATGCACATAAAACGGCTAAAGTGTCCTTGTATTTTACGAAATACCATTACAATAAAAGAACAAGAGGTTTTTAAGAGAGAGTATTTTAAAATTTTTCTTCATTCATGTTATACTATTAGGTTTTTGTCGGTGTTCAATACCCCACTCTCTTCTATTTTCTGAATAAACAAATATTAAAAGGCTTATCTAAGATAGTAGAAAGGGTGGGCGATGGTATTATTTAAAAGAAAAGTGCTATTGATAGGGTTATAAGCTACGCTGGTAAAAGCTTAAATTTGTCGAACTTTAACATTCAAGTTTGTTGAATTATAAACTTTTCACAACCCTTATTTTTGAAATAATAAAATTATCAGCTTAAGTACTTAAGTAGGTACCATGGTTCAAGAAGACTCCTTCTTGTACCATGGGTACCACCAAAATTCATATTATTCCTAGACCTTTGTGAACATTTAAAATTCCACTATTTTATATTTTTTTGAGCGAACAAATTTGGAGAATGGTACTTATTTAAAAGAACAGAGCGACCTTTATAAACGCAGGGAAAATGTTATGTCTTAAATAACAGAATTTATTTTACTGAAGAGCGGAAATTGCAAAAATATACGCTGTATGCACAATGTCGTCAAATTATGCAAAAATTACTAACAATGATAAAATATACAGTATATGCATGCAATACAATACGCACTGAGCACATATTCTAATCTTCATTAATTAGCTTTAGTACTTCATAACTTAAATTTTTCATAAACGTATCATATAAGATTTTGTTTTACGAATATTTTAAATCTAATTCTCTAATCGTTTTTTCATCTGAAATAAGAAATAAATCTTATAGCAAACAAGATGTTATAAGATAATACGCAAATACGGACATTCGGAAACAACTAAACACCGCCTATATTAATAATATTCGGGAACATAACGTAAGGGTCGACAAAAATCGCCATATATTACGCAGATTGATAATGTGCATAAAATTTTGTGGAGTGTTTGAACTTGCTTTACGTGGACTTGACGAAAGTAGGGAACAACAAAATCCATGTATATTTCGAGGTTTGATTGATTTTACGGCTGAAATGGACTCTGCTTTATCAGATCATTTGAAAGAAGCAACGGTTTTTAAAGGAACTTTTAGATGCCATCAACGTAAAATTTTGACCGAAGGCAAAACGACGGTATCTGGACAAATCCTTTTTATTTTTATTATGTATTTTTGTATTTGTTTCTGTCACACAATTTCGTGTATTAATGGTAATAACAACGTGTTTTGTATCTTCAATCAAATTGTGTCCCCCCATTTCAAAAGGTCAGGTCAGGTCAGGCCTCCCATTTCAAAAGGTCACGAGTCGTCACTGAAAGTTATAGCAGAGACTTTGTACATTTCTTATGAACGTGTTTTCCATATTGTGCATACTGAATTGGGCATGAGAAAATTATCTGCAAAGGGGATCCCTAAATTCCTGAATGGGGATCAAAAGTGTCAACGAGTGACAACCTCCAAAATTTTTCAACCATTTTGAAGAGAATTCATGCAACTTTTGGAGTGGATTATAACAATGGGTGAAGTATGTATTCATCAGTATGATCCTGGAACAAAAGATTACTTATATTATTCTTCATTATTGACTAATCTATGAGAAAAAAATCATTGAAAAATGTCACGAGAAAATCTCAAAAGACGTGCTCTTTGCAAAACTATGCACTGGTCCACAAGTCCCGGATTGCCTTACAGAAATTTGACGAACTAGGCTTTGAATTGGTTGACCATCCCCCGTATTCTCCGGATTTGGCTCCTTTTAATTATTACGTCTTTCTGAAACTGAAAAAACAGTTGAAAGGAAAGATATAGGTACTCATCAAAAGAAGATGTGATCGACATCGTGGAGCAACGGTTTACAGACCATTGTTTCAAATTTTTAATTTTTGTTAATTCAATTGTTTTGAGTGCTTTGAACAAGAGCTGCCTCCTTAATTGTCAAAATCATCTTTCACTAATCTATTTTTGCAGGAACACTGAAAAATTATACTGTACCACAGTCAGGGCCGTATTTACGCATCTGTAGGGGTATTAGGTTCCTAGAACGGCAAATTTGAAGGGGCCATCAATTTTCTCTGTTAGTTATATTAGTTAATTGACAGCATACATTAAAAAAGAGCAAGAAATCACTGGGAAGTGGAGATACGGCATAAAGTGAGTTGCCTATTGACGGCAAATGAGTAAATACGGTCCTGATCACAGTACTCCCTCTCACCAACTGACAACTATAAATTTGAAGCATGTAAATCCAGTCTACATTTTTCTCTACGCTACCTGCAAACTTCCCATATTGGACACTTCGTACAAAAGGCTTTCGAAAAACTCGAAATTTAGCACGGCTGCTTCCTTCATTACAAAAAGGCTTAATTTTGTCACTGTTTATTATTTGCTTTGACAATGTTTCAGTAATCGTGCTTTAGAGACAAAATTTTTCTTTTCTTCTAACTATGGTACCTACGGACATGTCATGTCACAGGTCATCTCCGTCTGGCTGTGACCTATTTAACAGGCAGACATGTTTGGGATTTCCGTGATGTCATTTCAAATTACTGTTGTCAACCACACGATATTTGTAATGGCCTAAGTATTGCAACTCAAAGATTTCCATCGCAAGGTACGTACTTATTTTTTAAAGAAAGTGAAATTCTAAAATGGGTAGTTTCTTTGAGACAAGTCACCGTTAAAAAGAATAACCAAACCCTCTTTGGTACCATAAGACGGTGTTACTATTATTTATGCAAAAATCACTGAATTGATATTTACATTGAATACATGTGTTCTGAAAATTCTGTAGGGTGCGGTGTCCCAAAACTGCTTCCATAAAAATGTATAATTTGTTAGTTGCTCTTATGTGCGTGCAGCACGTTTACCAACTGTTCATATATTAAAAGTAATTAATGTAACTAATTATTATGATGCATTGCCATAAATCTTGTAAGCACGAATGTTCTACATCAGTAAAAAATATATGTAGCATGACCCAAACGATATGAAATTAAAATTGTGTAGCAGTTTATATGTAAAGTGTACAGAAAGTTATAAGTGAAACTAGGTTTTGTTAATTTAAAACATTTTTAAAAGAAGTCGAAATTCTATTATTTGCACAAGATTACTTATTTAAAGCGGTAGTTTTGTAATAATGTTTTTTAAACCCTTTAAAAAGAAGAACATTTTAACTGCGACCTACTTCAAGAGTAGGAAAACAGGACACGTGATGTGAAGCACAGATCATGCAAGATGCAAAAACATGAGATTTGCTCCACTGGTTTAATGCACAACTTGCTTTTGCTATAAAACTTGAAAATGCATTTCCAGACTTACCATTGTGGTGTGTGTTCTTGTTCAGATTATATCGAACATGTTTTGCTTCACTGTAGTGATGTTAGTTAGTGTTTTTGTTGAGTGCTTTTCATCGTTGCCAGCGCAGAATTCAGAAGATTTTTTTATTAAACGAATCGTTAAAGAATGTGTTACATCAAACAGTCAAATGTCTTGTTTTGCAAATAAAGTGGCTAAAACAATCGAAAGATCTATGGAATGGGATGTAACACTTTTTGATGGAATTAAACTCCTAAGAAACAACGAACGCATAGACAATGAAAACGAGTCGAGAAGTCATTTGTTTGGCCCAAGTCGACTCATGAAGGCTGTTAAAATTTTTTTAAATACTCATTATTTTGCTTTGGATTTAACTGAGGATGAGTCCACAAACGAACCTCGTGGTGGTGGAGGTGGTCTTGGCAGCGGAGGTGGAGGTGGATTAGGATTTAATAGGCAAGCTCTGAAAAAAGAGGCAAAATACATGCAGTACGCTTTTATGGTGCTCCTTGGGATATTTGGTTTAACGGGACCCATAGTAATGAAGACATTGGCAGTAATGGCAGCAAAATCTTTAATAGCAAGCAAAATGGCTTTAATTATAGTAGGGTCGGTGGCTTTGAAGAAACTTTTCGAAAAAGACCATCATGAAAAGACATCGGTTAAAGTTCATACTATTAACACCGACGATGATCATGATAGGATTTATGCACCGTATAAATCATCAAATTACTGGTCATATGCCCCATATATTAAGTCAACATGACTTTGATTAATTTTTAAGGTTTGTTTAAATTATTGCTTTTTTAATAAAATATTTGTATTGCTACACCGTTTATATTTTTTATTATGTAGATTTTGTGTTCGATGTTAATAGTTTATAACTATTAAGACAGTCGTTAGAAAATAATATAAATGAAATCACTGTAGAAAGAAAAATACATGTGCATTCATTCATTTGAGATAAATGTAAATTTAGTACGCAGCAATTTAGAATCAGAACATGTAAGTAGGTAATAAGTTTGATCCGCATGTGACAGGAAGATAGCGGTAGACGGTAGCCTTACATACAGTAGCGCTAAAAAAAAAAAATCCGGACACTCGATTGTTTTTTAGCATGATTAACTCTGACTGAGTCAGTTTAATTTATTGATTAAATCAAGAATTGCAAAACTGAATATGTATTTTGAAATCTTGACATTGTGAATTTATTGTAAGCATGTTAAGTTTTTAATCAAAATGTATATGTTTATCAACTCCAAAAAATTGATTACGTCCTCACTCAAAATTTTGCCAAATAAATTCTTTCGAAAATGTGCAAAATATGATCAGACTATAAGTGTAACTTATCATTGCATTCATATGTTTTAGATTTGCTTAAACAGGGTGACCAAAAAAAAAATAATGAATCAGTCAATTTTTAAAGAAGGTGAAACCTTCTCAGAGGCCTCAAGTGTCTTTTTTAAGGTGAAACCGTCTTTTTTCTGTTACATTGTGACTAGTGTCTTCTATTTTGTTTTTACTCCATAGAGGTTATCACGAAAAAGTAACATTGCGCAAAATCAAATTTTATATTTTTTCAGAGTAGTACTATTTGTTGGACTGTAATTCAGAAGCGAGGGAAGTTCTGTCGAAATAACTTTCGACCAATTTTAGTTATAGAAATTGTTCCCTTTGAATCGTGTTTTAAATTCTCTAATTCTACATACATTTTCTAAAACATTACACATAAGTGTAATCCACTAAACTGTCTTTTGATAAAATCAGAACAAATTCAGATATATCGATTTTCTTCATTTGTTGTCTTTTCTTAACCCTTTTTATACAACGTGTTCATTCCTACTGAATACAACGGAATTTCTGATGAGAAAGAATTTTAAGTTTGCTTTTTGTAGTATTGCTTCTTCCATGTATTTTGTAGAGTCAATAGTTGTTTGAGAATAAAGAAGGGTGTTATTTGATAATTATTTTTTGAAGTCGCTAGGATATTGTCAGATTCCCCGCAAACATTTTGAGATTTGCTGATTTTCAGCATAATCTTCATTTTTTTTAAATATACGTACTTATTTTTACATTTCATTGTATATGCATTAACAATTCAAAGATATTTAAAGGTATGATGAACAATCGCAATGTCTGAATTAGTCCACAGTATAAATTTATGATTCGTATTTCGTAAAAACATAACTTATTAGTGTTGGGTCCGTTCAACACCTGCATTTGACCGTGAATACTCCCAGAGGACTGAAATGTCGCAAACTAACACAACACGACGTGGATAACGTGTCCTTTAACTTTTAAATAAGGACGTTTTATTTTTTATTTACGACGATAAGCTATAAAAAGGTATTTTATATGACGTGAGGGTTAAATTTTCCGTATTATGTGCCTTAAATTTTTTATGTAGTTTTTCGGTCACTTCCGCTTGTATTTGTATTTACGCTCGGAAGACGCAAATTGATTACATAGATAAACAAATAACTGGACAGTTATGTGTCCTAGTTACATGTTTTAAGCTGCAACAAATAACAAATTGGTAAACATAATAAATAGTGGCGCCTTGCAGACCTAAATTACGTCAATACCTTCGAAGGGCAGATAAATTTATGCCTGATTTTTAGTTTACAATAACTCGGAATGGATCAAAAAATATTTGCATCCAGATCAATTTTAATAGTAAAAATTAAAAGCTATTTAGGCCACTTTTTTGACATTAATAGTTTGGGCAGAATTAAATTTATATAGATTTATTGCAGAAATAGAAATATAGAATCCAGAGAAGCAATAAGTGTCCAAGCGCTCGGATTCATAAATTATGTTGCAGCGACGACAAGTTTTATGTAGATACGCATTTTTTAAATAATAAATAATAAAATATTCTTAAAAATTACGTGCGGTACTATATTGTTAATAATGGTGGCAAAGGACAGATTTTAATATTGTTAAAGAAAATTTCCCATAATGAGCATTATCGATAAAGCTGCAGAAATGGTGGTTATGTTACACGTCCCACCTGATAAATAGTAATTTATGTATATTATGTTTATGTTGCATGGAAGTGAGTTACGCTATGTTCGTTTTCATACAAGTATAATACAACATTTTTTGTGTTTCCTTATTACAAAATTTAATAATTTAAACGTATTTTTACCTGTGTTTTTATGGATAGTAATTTATTCTGGAGAGATTGTAATTTTTATTTTTTTACATTTACACGCGTGTTGCAAAGTTATCATAACGCCTGTAGCGGTACGCCTGTTTCGATTAATAGACACCACTTTTCGATTTGGCGACACCAGAAAGTTTTGTAAAGTTGTTTTCGGCAATTTTTGTTAAAATACAAATAATTCTTGTTAAGAAGTAACCACTTAATAATCCTTTTTATTTTTTATAAATGTTGTGTTTGTTCGCAAAACATGTAGTTTTATTCAATGTTTTCCTTATTTTGTATAAAATTTAATTTTAATTTTATACAATGAAAGTTCATTTTTTCTGAAGTACGTTTCATATACTTCAATTATTAACTTGTCAATGTACCTCATTTTTGCAATTTGTAAAATGTCTCTATTGTAAGTTATATATCCGTTGGACTGTTTCATTTTGCATGGGTGAAACGGTTATTTAAAAATGCTACCCAAAATTGAAAGTTAGGGAAACAGTTCTCGGAGTTCCAACATCACTGGTTTGTTATGTTCCACTTACTGACGATTTACGGTTTACATGGTATCATAAATTTTGGTTCTGTTTTGTTACGCGAAAGCTTCACAAACGAATCTAACGGCACTATTTGTGTTACAACTATAAATGCAGTTAGAATTTCTGTGAAAAAACGAATAATAATATATGTACATATGTACCTATATGTTTTTATTTAACTTTTAAAGATAGATTTTTTTAAATTTAGTTATCAGTTATGAGTATTATTAATCAGGTAAGTATTTAGTTATATTCTTGTGTAGAACTAACAAATTTATACTGTTATAAAGTTATTTGTTTCCGTACGAGAAAGAATGGAAGTGAATGATTTACTTTCAAACATTCCACATTTGCATTTTCTGACATTATGCTTGATGCTTTTCTGTATGTGGTGGAAATACCCAGCCCCGTAGCTAGAAAACTTATTCAGGGGGGGCAAGTTTGTCGACAGAGGGGACTTCATGTAAATATGAATATATATTTTAATAATACACTCAGATAACTACCTTATTTTTTCTCAGTTTTTACATTTGAAAGATCATTAAAATAATTGTAAACATCGATCTTTTTCGCTATTAAATTTTCGTAAAAACCTGTTGAAGTCCAAAGATTTGATACGGTACTTTTAAAAAGCCAGAAAAACCAAGTTTGCCAATCTTTGATGTGTCATTGAAGGCGTTAAAACAGAGAATGTAAATTCACAAACAGCTGTACTGCATCAAAAAATAATCACTAGGTAACAGCCAATTTGTTTAAGTTTATTTTTTTGCATGTTTAGTAGTAGGCTATGGAATAAAATGTGACATGACAGTTCATTTTTTTATACGGTCAACATCAACGTTAGAATGATATTGCCAAATAACTCACCCTGTAAGAAAATAAAGGGTGGGCGGGTGGGGCTAGTAAATATGGTTCGCAATCGGCTTTATATTGAAATTTTATTACTAATTTAAAATTTATAATGTGTAAGTCTTCCAGGGGGGGCAACCACAACTGCTAGGGGGGGCTCAGCCCCATCTTGCCCCCCCGTAGCTACGGGGCTGGAAATACCCGAGGTAAAACTTTTTTTTTTTTCTATCGTATGCTCTTTGTGTGAGACAAAAAATTACCAATTGAGTATGTCGTAGAAATTTTATCTCAAATTTTGAAATTTCTTATCATATCAGCATTATTTGTCAAACAGAATCTTTGGTTTATTTCACGTTTTACTACTCTACTTAATTCTGAACAATGAAACGATTTAGTGATCAAACAAAACAAGTTACATTGAATGTGAAAAAGATACAGGTTTAAATGGTACGGAGTACAAAGAGAATATGTCCACTAAAACTCAAGTAAATTCTGTAATTTAATGTCAGACAGGGAAAATGAATATTATAAATGTTGATTCCGTTTTAGATGATAGTGATAGTACAGATGATGACAGTAGTCTTGATAATTTAGAGTTGTATTAAAAAATAATATCTAATTAAAGAAGAATAAAACTTATAAGTCAATTTTAAATTAATTTTGAACTTCTGCAAGTTGCTTTGATATGTTACCACAGCAACATACAAAAAACCACATACTTTTGGTCACTAAAAAAACGTCACAGTCTAAGTGTTTTGAACAGGGATATTTCCACGACTTTAGTTCTGTTCTGTTTGTGTAACAAAAGTTATTGATATTTAATACTCGGTATTATTTTGATGAACTAGATGTGAAAGCGCTACCAAATTTTGTTGGGAGTTAAATCATTACAGACAGCAGTGCTTACTGTCTATTTAATCTGTTTTTGCAGAATGTATTTCTCCACACCGCTGTTGACCACCTCAACAACAGTTGTCTAGAACAATTTTTCTGAAATCTTACTGTTAGCTAGCGTCAGCCTAATTTTTTGGATTTATGGAGCAGAATACATTAATAATACATAATACATTAGTATATTATTATTAATGTACAACGTGTTTCAAAATGATTTTCATCTAGTTGCCTGTGGTTGCAAATTTTCATCAAGGGAAAGATAGCAGTTGAAGCGATTTCAAAGCTAACTAGATGAAAATCATTTTGAAACACCCTTTATTAATACAA